CTCTCTCTTAAACAAAAAGTATTTCCACTGAAAATAAAGAGAAAAAGGTATTTTTGCAACATACAGAAGCAGTGAAATAAGACACTTCAGCTTCATAGAAACAGGCAATGTGAAAATAGTCTGAATTCTGACAATCTACATGAGGAAAACTATAAAGAATGGCAATTAAGTTAATTGTTACCTTTACTTCTCAGAAAAAAGAAAGATCAGCTAATTTTATTTTAGAATTGCCAGGCTTCTATCCTGCAAGCCTCAAGAAAAACCCAACCCATCCTCTTCCAGATTTATTAGTATTACTATGTAGACAAAGTCCCTGGTTGTACAGAAAATGACAATGCAACCTATTATTTTCAGCATAAACCAGTTTTCAATCTAATTACCACGTTCTTGTAAATATTCTATACATTACTAAATAATAGGGCTCACTATCATGGTCTGCATCTCACAAATGGCCCTGCAGAGAAAAGGCAAACAGAGGCCCATTGATTCCCATGCACAGAGCCCAAAAGGCCACTCCAGCAGCCTCTTTGCAAGCTCAAGACCACAGAGAGACCTACAATTGCTGAATTATACTCACCACCACACCAGTAAATATGTAAACTGAAGGAGAACATTAAATCCACTTGATCATTACAATTGCTAGTTTTTCTTTACTTTGTTTTTGGTGCCTCTCTTTTTCCACATTAGCCACGAAGTCTACTTTGTCTCCTTTGGCTTGCAATCAACTTTGCCCTTTTGTTCTGTAGCTTGCAGATATTGGAAAATACCTAAATTCGTTAAAAAACAACCTGAATCTAAAAAAAACAGTGGAGCCAGTTCTAGCTGGTTTAGTATTTCTAAAAACAGTGCTATGTCAAAATTCACATTCCCAGCTACATCTGAGTTGACAGTGTCCCTTGTCAGAAAAAAAAAATAATCTCTTGGTAGCAATGCTAATCTCCTTCCAAGTGCCACTCCAGCCTCAGCCCAGTTTTGACTCAAAACAATGTGGATGATAACGGTTACATAAAAATCCGCAAAAATGTGTTAATAATAAATAAGCCAAAAGGCTTAAAAAACAAAAAGCCAAATGGATACATGAGATAGAAATCACATTTTTTTCCCCATAAACATGATTTCAGTGCAAAAGCCTCTGTTGGTAGGCGTGCCAGCCTGAAAAATAAAGATTAAACACGCAGAATGTTTCCATGTGAGTTTCAGATGTGTTTTGATGAATTTCTGGGGGAGAAATTTGTTTTGATGAATTTCTGCTCCCTGAAAGAGTAGAAACCACTTGTGCTATTCCTCTTGGAATAAACACAGGGGCAGCAAAGGGTTAACTCCTGCTCTCAGGCATCATCTCCTGGTTGGGGTTGGAGCTCTCTGCTTCCTCTCTTGGAGGGGTCAAATGAATTCACAATGGTTGATTCATAGCCCAGTGTGGAGCTGAAGGACAGAGGTCAGACAGGTTGAATTGCCTGTAATTTGCACAACTGCTCCCATGCTAGCCCTGGGCTCACAGCAGCACTGAGCAGCCAGAGCCCCCAGATCTGTGTGTGTGGGGTGCACTGATAACGCCCTGTGCAGTGTCACAGGTGCATTTCTGACCAGCTTTTCCTGCAATTATTGTGATGCTGCTCAGAGCTTGAGAATGACACATTCAGTTCTCTAAAAGCAACTTGTCTGCCTCAAAATAAAGGCCACTGTGTAACCTCCTAGGTGGGCCAAAGCTCACCAAAGAGCTCATTTCCAACACTGTGCAGCTTCCAGCTGGAGCTAGGCAGCATGCCTGCCATGGCAGACACTGGTACAGCCTGCTGGAGAAGCACTTGCATGGATCAGATAATGCCTGACATTGCACTGGGAAAGATGAACAGAAAACACTTTGATCCCTTTGTGTATTCCAGGAGAAAACTCTCTAACTTGGATATGAAGGAGGATCTACTGAGGGGTCTTGAGAGACTCATTAATCACAGAACCATAGAATGGTTTGGGCTGGAAGGATCCTTAGAGCTCATCCAGTTCCACTCCCTGCCATGGGCAGGGACACCTTCCTCTACCCCAGGGTGCCCAAAGCCTGTCCAGCCTGGCCTTGCACACTTGTTCCCTGGCCTAACAGGAGCCCAGGTTAAAAGCCTGATTGACAGCTCCTTAAAGAGGGGACATGCACTAGAAAACCCTACCCAACACTGAGGTTACAGATCCTGAATTACACATCTTGGAGGTCATAGATTACAACAGACTGTGCATCATGTGACCATCATAAACTCATTCTTTCAGTATATTAAAATGTAGAAGGAAAGGAGAAAGGAATGTAGAGGTTTGGTGTATGTAAAGCTGAGCCTTGCTCATATGTTTTAATTTCTGTTCTGTAAATTTGGAGCAGAATAGCTGCAGGATAGCTGGTTTGGCAAACAGAGAGCTACAGTTTTGTTCTAATGCATCTGAGTTATCCTTAAAAACAAAATGGAAGAAGAACTTTGGGGATGCAATCTCACAAGTTCAGATATGGGTGAATATTCATGGATTAACTATCCTGTTGGACTGGTGTGGGAGGCCCAGCCACTGCCAAGCATTGAGGGACCTGACTCCCTGTGAAAGCAAAGATCACATTCCTTCAAAAAATGGGGCTTTGATGCTGTTAAAGGAGAAAGCTTACTGCACAGAAATTTCTGTGTTTCTCAAAAATGTTGAAATTTGGGAATTATCTAACCTCTCAAGTTTGCTCTAAACCAAATTGCATGACATTTTTGAATATAGGGCCTCTAGTTTGCCTGATATAATTATGCAGCTCAACTATCTCCAAAGAAATATTGTAATGTAACTCTCTTATTATATAAGAAAATAGGCAGCAGACTCATGTAATCATAAAAAGATTGAGCAGGCTCATTTCCTGAAGCTTATTTCCTTTTCGTAACAAATATTTACTGTCAAATGTTTATTGCTTTTACATTTGGATTTTTTTAATACTTTATTGAATTAAAAATACCACATTACCATTGGCTAAAAGAGGAGACAGCTGTATTTGCCAATAATTTCTACAGCTAATGCCAGTGACCAGTGCCAATTTTTTTTTTGGTTCATATTTTTGTAGACAGCTTTGAGACTTATGATACAAGTATTCTGCAGATGAGGCCTGAGGAACACAAAGGTGAAATGAACACAAATTTCAGAGGTTTAAAAATCAAAAGTGATCATTTCCTCTAAAGAATTTCCTTTCCTTGCTATCACACACCAATTCAGAGTAGCATAACAGGATGTAAACACAAGCTTAAACTTATGGCATGTGACATAACTGATCCAGAGCTTCACAGGGTGAATGCTAATTCTTAATGCACATCTGCAACAGAAATAATTCTAAATAAGGGACTGCAAATTAGTTTTCATCTGCTGAAGTTCTACCAGGCTTTTCATCAGGAAGCACTAATGTCCTCACAAAATATGCTTCTCTTTCGGGAGAAAGGAGAGATGGAGGAAAAGAGCACATTTTTCATTGGGTTCTAAAGTGTCAAATAATTAGACTGGTGAAAAATCTTGGGAGACACAAACACCTGCTGTCTGTATCTTACAGAGAATGGTGCCTCTTGGCACATTATTCTGGCAAACAACAAGTCCCTGAAGCAATTCCAGACTGGACATGCAACTCCTGTGTGAGAAATGCTGACCACCTACCAGCAGGCTGACATTCTCATCAGGCACTGGAATATCCAGAAACAAAATGGTTTTTTTATCACAACAAGGGAAATAGCAAAAATCTCTTCCAAGAGCAGCCCAGCTGGGTGACACCCACACAAGTGGAAGAACTTGAGTCATGCTGGGTAGATCTGAGGTTTTCTTTACAGACCTATATTCTAACACTTTGCTTCCAGTACAGTAGTCCTGGTGGTCTGCATTTTCTTGATGGAGCTGGGAAATACAACCTGTCCAGATTCTTTTCCTTTGTTTTATATTAGCTAGTTTCCAAGTCCAAAATAAATAAAACAGCTAACGTGAAACTAAGAGCATTTTCCCAGGACTTGCACGTGTTCCACAGTTTTAGCAATTTGGCACTTAAAAGCCCCAGTTATCTCTGATTATTATTTTCTTTCTTAACACTGATTTAAGATCTCAAGCTTGTTCAGAGTGGGAATGAGGGACAACTAAAAAATACAAATGGCCAGTTATTAAAAGCAAGAAACCTGTCTGCTTTTTGCCTGTCTGTACAGGAGGGGATGCTGCCAGCTGGTGCTGGTGACCCAACACAGCTTCATGACTTTTTTTTTAATATCTCCAAGGCCATGCTGGAAGCAGGCACTACTCCACTCCCTGTCTAAAGCAGGGGATAAGATCTGCTCAGAATTAAAAGATCTGATTATGTGTAATACCTTACGAAAAGCTTGGCTGTCTAAATTCCAGAGTTGAGTCCAACAGCCTCATCTCAAACACAACCTGCTCCTAGAGACAGCAACAGTCAATATTCCCATTTTGCCAACCAACCCCATGATACCCCACACTGCACCCAAATCCTGATTAAACATCATGTTGCTTAGAAAACACACAGGATTCTGCACAGAATTTGGTAAGGCTTCATGAAAGAAGCAGACACCAATATTTCCTCAGCACAGAGTTAATTAGGAGTCAGCTCCTGAGAACACTGCGGTGGTCTGAAGGTGAAGTCTGTGAACGCCCAGCCAGCCATCTAAGCTGACTCTGTGGAAGTCGCCAAACACTCTTGTGAGGAGAGACTTTCACCTCAGCTGAACTTCCAGGAAAACAATCTCTACAGAGCATTTCAGCAAAACAATCTCAAAAGGGAACAACGTGCAAACACCAGATTTTCTCAGTCTGCTCTGGGAGATTACCAAGGGGAAAGAAGGATGAGGCCTAACCAGGAGCGGCTGACAGGGAGCTCGAGGCCGTTTGATTTTCCACCACCAGCGCTGAGCCTGAGGGAAATACAGATTCCTTTTCTCCTCCCCAGGGCTTGGCAGCTTTATTTCCACTTCCCACCTTGTTTCCAGCTACAACCCACGAGCTCTTACCTCCATATCCTTACAGAAGGTGGCGTTGGTGCCAAAAAGGATCTGGCACTGCTCGTCGGCGCTGTAGTGCATCCCGGGCAGCTTGTGAGGGAGCCGCACGGAATATTGGCTGCGGGGGTCGGTCAGCAGCAGGCAGGTGCTCACCTTGGACCTGGGCAGGGCAGGAAGGAAAAATGTCCTTAGGGAAAACCCCTCTGAACTGCAGTGTTAGGAGGAGCTACAGAGGAGCCCTGTCCTCTCTTTAACAGTGTGAAACGGTGGGATTTTCCCTGGAAGTCTTCTGAATCGTTGAGAGCTATGGATATAAAGGGCCTTGGGAAGTCACCTGCGGCCCCAGGCCTCAAGGCAGGAGAGATAACATTCACAACATTCTGGGTTCAACTTTTGTCTAAACCAACATTCACAACATTCTGGGTTAAACTTCTGTCTAAACCTTTCCTAGAAATCTGAAGGAGACTCAATTTGGCCCTCAGGCAATCCAGCCCAAAGCTTCACTTGCCTTGAAATACCAGCTAGAAAGTCTGCCATCATGTCTCACCTCAATCACCCCAGCTGAATTCTGACATTTTTTCTTATCCATCACAGGCATAAAAAGAAGATTTTTCTCTTCGCTTTCACAACAATCTTTTACAAATTGTTGTGTCATATCAGGGACCAGATACAACCAGATGAATTCAGATGCAATTTCTTTTTCTAATTCATGCCTTTAACGTGGCATTAAATATCCCATTTTCTTTCATTATTTTCCTTTCTTTCCCACCTCTAACCCCCAGAGTGGGAAATTTTCCATGCCTAACCCACTCCTAGCACAAAGCACTGTGCCAGGCACTGTTTGGCAGAGAGCTGCACTGTAGGTTTAAGATTAGAACTGCAGAGTTCAGATAATTCTAGTGCTTCCTGTAGTTTGTGAGATTTAACAAGCAGCAGGACAGAAATCCTTCCTGAACCACTGGATATGATGAGCTGAAAGATGGATGCAGTGGGAAAGAAGTTTATAGTGAACTGTTTTAGACCAACACTCATTGAGGAGTGAGAAAACACCTCACAATCACCTCCAGGCAAAGTCAAGTTTCAATAAAATAAAAGCTATTTAATAACAAGACAGTAAAAACCACAGTATCTTTAAGCAGAGATTCCTGCAAGCCACCTACACACAGATTTCTGTCATTGCAAAATTGAAGGGCATTTTCTGTAAAAGAAAGGTGATATAGGATTTTTTAAAAGATGTTATCAGCACATTAACAATTGCACATAATTCTTCTGCCTCTCTTCAATCCTCAGTTTCAAGGTGCTATTGCAATGGAGACAGGTTCAAATTTGCATACCCTAATCACACAGGTACACTTCTTTAAAAGGAACATTGTTAATACTTCACTTTAAAGCAACAGAGTGGATTCTTGCCTGGTAGGATTTTTGACACTCAGCACAATCCTTACTTTAGGAAGTTTTCGAGGTCGTCTCGGCTGCAGGAAGACCAGGAAAGGTCACTTGGGTTCCTACCCTTGACCCATTCTCCAGACATGATGTGAGACCTCCCAGCACAGGGCTGATGATCATCATCGTGGCTCATCCCCATGCTGTTGGATTAGAACAAGACAAGAGAAAGAACCTATCAAGTTATGATGTGGGTTTTCATTTCCCACTGCCCTCAGCAATGACACTCTCAGGGATTAACAGCTGGACAACAGGCTGCACATACAACACACAATCAGCCATGCACTGCCCTGGGCACCTGTTAAATAAATGAATTAGAGGTTCCTTTAATTTATCCATTGCCTTAATTTCACGAAGTGTTTGGTATTTGTGTGTTTGAAATTTTTAAATGTGTTTCTTATGGACTTTCCTCCCAGGGCTTATGAGCAGTGAACCTGGAGAAGTGATGTAGCTCAGAGAAGGGTATCTGCTGGAATATTTACTGAAAATTTTGGATTGCTTTGCCAAATCTAGTGGATAGGATCCCTACAATTACACTGAGAGAATGATCTAGAGATGAGCCTACTTTGTTCTTGCATCAGTGTGAATTTGGAATATACTGTTAGGAAACACATTTTTCTAAATTAGTGGTATTGTGCAATCATCTAACTTTGAGGCTGATCCTAGTTTGAGTCGTGGGTTGGATCAGATGATCTCCAGTGGCCCTTCCAACCTAAATTAGGCTCTGACTCTGTAACAGAAGCATTTAGACTGGAGCCTGAGGCAAAGCCAAGCCCCATTTCTGCAAGCACTGTCCAAACAAGCACCAGGACTGCCCCATGCCCATGTCAGCAAGGACAGAATGGGACCTACTCAGCAAAACAAACCATCTAAACAAACAGCACATTGTGTTGGATAAACACATGGAGGAATTCAAACACATTCAGTGAGGATTTCCAAAGGCACTCAGAAACAGAAACCTGTTACTTCAACCTCCATCCAACTTCCCCCTCAGGACCCTTCTATCATCAGGGGAGTCTTCACCATTGGCTGCTACAGCAGGTTGAGAATAAATCCCTGCTGCAGGGAAGGTGAGACTCCTCTGCTGCAGGTAAAACTTTGTGAACAGGGAAAAAGGTGTGACCAAGGTCACCTGCCACACTCAGTCCTACACTCAGCCCATCACACCATCCTGCCTGGCATGAAAGTGAGTTAAAGATTTTCCATTCTACTTCAAAATGAACATTAAAACCCTCTTCCAGAATCATACTGTTTTCAAAGAGTTATTACTCTGTAACATTCCCCCTTCAATTCCAAAGTGAAATGGACCTTTCAGAAGAAAAGTGCCTTCTATGGCCAGTGTCACCTTCTAGCAAAACATCTCCAATTTGGGGCTGAAAATACAGAACTTGCTGGGTCTCCAGCTGGCTGTTTAGAGCAAGCCAGGAGCAGTCCCTTTAAATATGCACTGTTTAATCCGTGCTATTTCCCTACAAATCTGAGGCTCCTGTTTGCTTTCTGACTGTGCTCTTGGCTTTGCTCCTCCCCAGTTGTGGGACTTGACTGTTCAGAGCCCAAACACGACATCCATTTCTAGTAGCAGTGAACCAAAACCCACTTCAGCACTTTGATAATTATGGCTTAGATTGAACCACCATCTCTGCTATTTTTAGCTTACAGTGAAGATTATATGGTGGAGTCTATTATTTTAGGTTTATCTCCAGGGACATTATTATTATTATTTCTAGCAAAACTACATTCAATGTAATTTTTAGACTCAGAAGTTCATAGTTATTTTTGTTTTTAAACCTTTGTGGTTTTTGAACACTGCAGAAACATTAACATCAAGCACATTTTGTTTGATGCACACAGGAATAATCTAACAGTCTATTAGTAACTCTAACTTCAAAACAGTAAAGAGTGAAATTCCTGCTCCACTGAAGTGAATGGGAGTGTTGCCATTGACTTCAATGCAGCCTGGGTTTCACTCCAAATATTTTACCCATGTTGTTTCTACACAGAGAAAACTCCTCACATGCTAGGATGAAAGTTCCAGCAGTATTTCTCCAATGCAAATAAGCCCATCTAAAGATTGTATTCCTAAAAGTCAGGAAAGGAAGGGCTCAGCACCATGAAGTAAAGGATGTGAGCTTGTCAGGAACCTTCCAGAACAAAGTTTGCCCCAAAATGCCAGTTTGAAGGTTCGTGGTCACACAGCAATCCTGATAACTTTTCTAAGGGAGACCAGGCAGATTTCCAAGGTTTCTTGCAGCTTGTCTGCCTTGTGACTGCCACAGTGCTGACACTCAAAGCTGGGTCCTTTTTGGGTTTCTCCTCTGTTTCTGTGGGATGGGATCTGGCAGCTTCCTGAATGGCCCCCTGGTTGCCACATCAGGTGTTCCATCTCAAAAGGCTGAAAACAAATCATCTTCCTGACTTTGCAAGTGCTTTAGGATCCCTGATTTTATCCCTTCCAGAAAAGCCTAGTGTTTAGTCTAGAGTTGTTAATATAAGAAATGCTTTAGCTTTCTGATTAGCTTCAATTATTTTTATGTTGAAAGTGAGGTTTTGTTGGCAAAAATCAAGGGTAGCACTTCCTAATTAGTACATTCCTGTCTTTATCTTAAACCTGATCTCATGGAAGATGTCTTGCCTAAGACAAATGCTGAGGCTGCCAGTCTTTACTCAGCTTTATTTCACAGGGGGTTTGAGGCAGATAAAATTTGTTCTCTATAAAGAACGAATCAGAACTCACACCTCAAGTTATTTACAGGCTTCTTCTGAAATTCATTCAATCCTTACATGTGTGGAAATCTACCCATTTCTGAATCATTCCTGTTTTCCTAACAGAAATTCTTTTAAAAGTCACAAGCATAAAGGAATTGAGCCTGAAAGGAATACCTTTATTGGTATAAAGCAAAAGAGCTTTGCCAGTTTATATTAGCTTGGGACCTGGCCTCAAGGTACACAGGCAACCCCTCCTGGCCTCTCAGTGATGAGTTTCTGGTAGAATGAAACCAGCAACACCTTTGGAGCCTGTTTTAATTGGCAATGCAGAACTTTTCTCAGCATCTACTTTACCTTACAATGACTCACTTGAGAAAATGATTAAATGACCTGCAGGACTAAGGCATACCCTCGCATGCTAACACATTCTTTTCTGAAGTTCAAGGGTCTCCAGCTACATCAAAGGGACCAGGTTTTCCTAAACAAGCAGTAAATGCAATGCCATGCTGATTCTTTTCACTAATGAACAGTCCCCCTCGTTTAAACAGAAAAAAAAATGGGACAGAGCAGTGTGTGTTTGTACTAAACACCAGTGCAAACTGAATCAATAGTTTACATTTCATTTGTGACCATCTAATCTTACCTGCTATTCAGAATTCACGTGGAATTAGAAGCAGGTAATCAGTCTCTTGAAATATTCTGCCTTGGGAAGTTCTATTCTTACATGAACTGATCTTGAACAAAGAGTTGATAAGAAAAGCTCTCAGATTAGAAGTAGCAATGTCAAAATGACACTGCACTGCCCTGCAAACCCACTGCCCTGGGTGCTCCCTGAGACATAAATGTCCATTTTATCAGAAGCCACATACAGACACTGCCTGTTACCCTTTACAAAGCCAGCAGAGCCATTATGGATGAGCAGGACTCAGTTTCCCTTTGTGCTGTTACCACCACAGTCACTCCTTCATCCCAACCCCACGGGAAACTTCAGCCTTTCAGTTCATCACATTCTCCTCCTGAAGACAATGAGATTCCACAAAGGCAAGCAAGGACAGCTCAGACTGTCAGCTCTTCAACTCCTTTCATTCAATGTTTACTCAGAGTAGGCACCCTGGGACTCTGGTTTCACACTCCAGCTTCTTTCCTAATATAAATAATGCATTGCTTACCAGTCAAAGACACCATGGCCTCACTGGAGGAGTCCTGCAGCACATTTACTGTGGCTCACCATGTGTGAGGCCAGAAACAAGCTGACTGACCAGTGTGAGCCCTGACTGTTAACAGAATCACAGCAAGGCAAATCTGATCAGGAGTCACAGGGAGGCAGCAACCACAGATCTCTTTGATGCAGTTTTTTTGGAGAGCAAGGCTTTAAAGTAGCACTGCTATGAATAAAAAATAGCATGCAGTCTCTGGGAGCTGTGGCCTCCCTGAAGCCTGTGCAGCAATCAGAACTGGGTCAGGATGCCAGAATTACACTCTGGGCCTGAGCTGGCCAATTTCTTTGTGTAATTCTTTTAAGCTAAACTCAATTATCAGCCCCGTGTTTTCCCACAGCAATGCTGAACAAATGCACTTGCTTTGTTTGTTTGGGTCATTTGTGGAGTTTCTCCTCTAGACAGTTAATGTAACTAAACTGCTCTGTTTACCCTTGGTGTGTTTTCCAATGTTTCCTGTTTTTCCTCACAAGCCTGAGCCAAAGTGCACCAAAGCCTGTGGAAAGCCTCCTACTGCACCCAATGCACCGCTGCACCTCAATGTTCTTGAGGTCACGTGCACAAATCTTCACCAGAGCCACCATGACCCTCACTAGAAAACCCAAATCTGAGTTAAAGATAATGCCAAGGGCTGGGAGAAACTGATTTAGGAGATGCTTGAAAAATCTGTTCAACAGCTGCAGCTCTGGCTGGTAAGAGACCACTGGACAAATCCCCAGGACTGTTTTCATCACTCTCCCTTAGCAGGGAGAGACGTGAAGCTGGGACAAGAGGCAAGTTTGACAGAAAATACCAGCAGCAGCAGCAGCACTTTCCTTCAGAAAAAGGGTAGCAACTGAAAGAAAGAAATGTGAAGAAGGGAAGCCTGAAAAAAAGACACACAGATATGGAAACACCACCTTCAACACCTCCCTCTGAAAGTCAAACCATTCCATTTGCCTGCAAATAACTCAGCATGAGTCAAACACTGGATCACTTTAGAAACTCATGGCTATCAAGGCTACCCAAGGTGTCCTGGCTGTCACCCCAGCTGTTTATTAAACATGCATGACAAACAATTGATTGCTCTCCACACAACTGCACTTACCTCAGCCACCAGTTCTCCAAAGGGCAGGGAGGATGTTCAGCTGCCAAGAAGGAAATGAGGACAGCAGGCTGTCTCTCATTCCCACAGAGAGAAATCCAAAGGAGCCTTTCCAAAGAACCAACTCACAAAGAGC